GCCTCCTAAGTGCTGGGATTAAAGGCATGTACCACCTCCCGGCCCCATACTGTCCATTTTTAAAACTATTTACTGTGCCAGGATACCTCAAATGTAGTCAGATTAAAAAAATACACAGCTTTTGACCACAGGGACATATTTCATATTGGTAAAAAGGAGATACATGAACATTAAATAAATGTCTAATATATCATAATAGTGCTGTGCTGAAGGCGACTGCTGTGAGTTAGGGTCCTAATAGTTGATTAGAATTTCAAGAAGACACGTCCAAGGAATCATGCTTTCACACCAAGTCAGACAACAGCTGTGTTGAAATCAGTGTCTCTAGAATGGTGCCATGATGAAACATCACAAAGCTGCTAGCTCATCAGAGAATGACTCAGGAACACTAGAATGAGACCCAGAAACCAGCACGAGACGACAAAGCCATGCTTGTATGGTTGCCATTCCATGAAGCTCTGCAGCAGGTGCATGTGAGAAGTCCAGAAAAAAACCTCTGATCAGGTCATTCATGGTGATGCTTTCCCTTACATCAGTGGCTCTCGACCACTCAAGACCAAAGGGTGGTCAGGATCCCCTGGGGGTGTGGGATCACAAATCAGATATCCTGGTTATCACTTATTTACACTGCAATTCATAACAGTGGTAAAAACTAGTGGTATGAAGTAGCAACAAAATAATTTTATGGTTTGGGCTTGTTACACCATGAAGAACCATGTGAAAGGGCTGTAGCATTAGGAAGGTTGAGAACCACTGTCTTGGATAGTAACTCACATACCCAGAGTGCAGAGTGGAATGAGGGACCATCACTTAGATGCAGCTTTGGAATTTCTTAAGCATGGTACCTGGGCTGGAGAGACGGCTCAGTGGGTAACAGCTCTTGCTATGCAAACATAAGGATCTGAGTACAGTTTCCCCGGCAGCCACATAAGGGAAAGGTACAGCTGTATGCATCTACTACTCCAAGGGAGATCAGAGGATGAGGCTTGCTGGCCAATCAGTCAAGTCAAAAAGAGTGAGCTCCTCCAGGGTCAGTGAGTGATTTGTCTCAAAGAATAAGGCAGAGTGGCAGAGCAGGACTCAACATCTTGCTCTAGCCTCCATGCATGTGCACAGGAGCACAGACAGATGAACATAGCTGTATGTACACATATGTATGTATGTATGTACATACGTACTCACACACAGAGAAACTGAATAAACCACATAGCCTATTGCTACAATTGACTCCCAGACAACTGCCCAAAGATGACATACAAAGGAAGACAACTAGTGCTGACAGCTGTTTAGAGACTAAGAAAATCCTCCTCCATAAGACAGAGGGGTATGATCTAAGGGAACCAGTTATCAACGGGGAAAGCAGAAAAATACAGTGCCACATACTTCATTCTTATCTCATTTTTACCCCTATAAAAATCTTAATATGCAAAATACTACATATTACATAGGGGATGATATTTTTATATTGTAGATGAAAAGACTACTCTGATAAGTAAAGATACTTATCAAAGGACACAGACTCAAAAAACAAGAGTCATGGTCTAAACCCAGGTCTCTCAGATGCCAGTCTACAATGTTCCTGAACAGTCATAGTTGAGCAAGCTGGCTAGAGAAGCAGGACATGGGAAGTTGCACTTTAAAGAGAATGTCAAGGCAAATTCAGTGATGAAAATGCTTTAGCAATGGCAGATTTTAATTACTGGTCTTTATGCTAAAATGGACAGTTCATGATTTGTAATTGGACCTGTAAACTTGAGACAATAAAAAGTGTCATCAGACACAATTTAGTAGATCATGTATAACTGGGACCAGCACAGCCCCAAAGGCACAAAAATACCACGGAGTGACAGGCTCTAGATTAAGCTGACTGATGTCAAAAGCCTGTTCCTTCTTTGGTGAACATTTCTTCTGCAAAGAGAAAGGGTACCTTTTGCTATTCATGATGTTTTCAATTTTATTTTACTCTGGGAGAACTGAAAGTAGCTTGTAAGACAACAATTCTCTAGGAATCGAGGCAATATAAACAAGACAAACACATGGAACACAATACACCTTGGCCTGAGTGAAATAGAATTCTTAGTGGAGAAAAAAAAAAAAACCCTTTCTTAACAACCCAGTCCAAAGCTAATGGGCAGGGCCAGGCAAGAAGGGACAGGTAGGAAGGAAAGGGAGAGACAGCAGATAAAGCAGTGTCTGTTGTCTATGACTTGGCACACAGAGAAAATAGCTAAGTAAACAGAATACAAAGATGAGAACCTGGTCTACAATGACAAAGAATAAAAAATGGAAAAAGAGAAAACTAGGCTATGTCTTCTGATACTGCAGTAGAGTTAGAGCTATCAGATTAAGCAAGATCTAGTGTACGGTATAAATATTAGTATTAGGGTAATTTTAATTACTTCATTAGTGGGAATAGTTGCCATTATTGCTTACAAAACTGTGGCAGAGCTAAAGATAAACACACAGCTTTCATGTTTACTTCTATCGGATTAGGCTCATTATACAAGCACAAATGTAGAGGAAAGAATGTGGCAGCCATGGTGCTCCCTTCAGACACTCTCAGTCTACTCTGAGGAGTCTGTTACAGTTCAAGCTTCCATGTATCTCAAGGGCCAGGGACTGAAGGCTTCATTACCAGCCAATGGTGCCACTGTGAAGAAGTAGAACCTTTGAAAGGTGGAACCTAACCACGAGTCAGGTTATTGCAGGGCTCTACCCTCTGCCTTTCCTTTCTGGACACTTTCCAGACATACACTGACACAATACAGGGGGGAAGTAGGCACAGACTGGAACCTAAAATCAAGAATTAAAACAAACCTTTTCTTCCCTTTGAATATCTCAAGTAATTCTGTTACACAACAGAACTCTGACTAACAGAAAGAGTCCTTGAATGTACTTCTATCAGTAAATTGAGACAAACTGTTAGGGTCCATATAAAATTTCAGAGACATCTGACATATGCAATGCTTATTAAAGGCTCAAGTTACTCATTTTTACAGGAATGAACAAGAGTGTCAGCATGAGAATAAGAATGAGAGGGAGTATAACAGGATGCCAGCTTGAGCACACAACCGTGAGTGCACACACACAAGCAAAAGGTGTCATCATCTCTAATGAGCCTTATTGAGATTGATGTTAATATCCTTAGAATGTTCAGAGTTCCACAAATTTTACCTAGAATCAGCCCTAACTGGATGATTCTTCATGCTTAGCCCTCTATTTGGGAATGATATGTCCCCAAGGTTGGTTCAGAGGTCTGAAGAAATATGAGAATTGGCTTTATCTCCTGACCCACACAGTGAACAACACACAGCGTTTATGCCAGCAGAATAGAACTTAACTCGCTGAAGAGAAGGGCTCCTAAGTAATGACCCCTACAGTTCAACAGCAAGGTCATAAGACAGCAGTGCATAGCTCCTTGTGACAACTGCATTTTCAAAACCAAAAAATACAGACACATAGGGAGGATGATGAGCTCCTCCTTCTGTCTTTTCTAAACTGCATCTTTATCTTTTATTAGATGGCATAGATTCTGATGTTATAATTGGGACAGATACTGAAAAGATCCACTCTCTTTTTTAATGAAAATAGTGACTCAAGGGGCAGGAGAGATGGCTCAGTGGTTAAGACCACTGGCTGCTCTTCCAGAGGTCCTGCATTCAATTCCCAGCACCCACATGGTGACTTCTAACATCTTCTAAGTCCAGTTCCAGGGGATCCTTATGACCTCTGATGGTATCAGGTAAGTATGTGGTGCTCATGCATAGGTAATTGGCCAAAACATGTAGACACATAATTTTTTTTAATATTTAAAAAAAAGAAAAGAAAATGTTAATTCTATGGGTAAAGACCTGTCCCTATGAAAGAATAAGATTACAGGAGCTTAGTTCTTTTACTTTTATAACAGAATAACCCAGCCTTGTTCTCAGCAAACAACTGGTTATAAGAGCACAAATAATTGTTTCCACTAGCTAATGAAAACTTGCTCAGACACTAGAGAGTCACTAAGGGCTGATAATTTGCTCATGTATGCATCTTCTGTCATACCCCATGTTCAACAGAATCTGAAATACATGCTTAGAATCTACAGCAGGAAAACGATTGACCAACAACACAGCAGCTCAGATCTGCAGGGAATGGGACTCCAAGTGAGCAAGACACGTAGCAGAGACAGACAGCCAAAGCACTGCCGAAGCTCCCTTTCTGTGGAGACCAGCAGGCTCCAGTCTACACACAGGACAACCAACGTGTGCCCCTGGTGTTCTCCACACTCCTCATACACCATGCTAGCCACTCAGGACTTTACTGTACACTTTCTGTCTTAAGATCAATACAAGACCATTCTAATCTGCCAGGCAGTGGTGGCACATGCTCACCTATAATCCCAACACCTGGGAGGCAGAGACAGGTGGATCTCTGAGTTCAAGGCCAGACCAGCATACAAAGAGAGTTCCAGGACAGCCTGAGCTACACAGAGAAACCCTGCCCCCCCCCAAAAAAAATTCTACTTTAATAGTTTCTGTGTCTACTGTAGAATTATAGATAAAAACAAAACCTGCCATGCTATACAGCAGCAGAACTAATCCATAGAATGTCTTTTTTCATTAAGTACAATGCCATGAAAGTCTGTGTAAATAAATGTGCATGCTTTCTTTCCACAAAAATGAGTGCTATTTACTGTAATGCTCTACAGGAAAGAGAAGGTTTCCCTTTTAGCCACTTATGAGTTATAACTAGCTTCTGTCAGGAGCCTAGTGCCTCCTCCTTCCCATGCTCTTCTTGGATGACCTTTATCTATAATTATGAGGGATCCAATGTGTCTGAGCATGCCTACCATGTGTGCATATACACACTTTTCCTTCTCTTACAGTTCTCTAAGACCTTCTACACTTTTTGGCATCATTGTGTAGTCAACTTAAGAGGCTAATTTAATAAACATCCAGTGACGCCATGCCCATGGCACAGGAAAGCGAGCCCAGCCTGCTGACCCCGACTGTCACCTTTGCAGTAATCTGCAGGGTCCTCCTGCTCCTCATCATCTGATCCAAGAAGCTCTTCCTCTGGCTCAGCAGGTGCCGGGTCTGGCAGTGGTGGTGGCGGTGGTGGCGGTGGAGGAGGAGGAACTAAAGGAGCTTTCTGTTGAGGCTCCGGCCTGAAACAGCAAGAAAAAAATCTATTTACAAGAAGCAAATCATACATTATGGGCAATTCTAAGTTTCTTGGTTTAAGGAAAAATAGAACTTGTTTGACATTAAGATATGCTAGTTAAAGTCACATCACTTGTTTTAGTTAAATTCAAACAATGCTTATCACACAGGCAGGAAGGGTGGCAGCCTTTCTGTTCATTAATGAAGGAGTATGTTTTACAACCATCTACTCATTCAGGAGTTCAAAATTTTTTAAGGCTTGACAATGCTATATAATTTTATTGTAATGAAAGAGTACTCTACTCCAGAACACACAACTTTGTAAGTTATAACAAGGTCAGCTATAACAGGAAAAATGTTAGCTTGTCCTGAGATGGTATGTAAAACCAGGGCCAGAGAAACTGCCCCAAGTACTCATTCATTCATTCATTCATTCATTCATTCATTCATTCATTCATTCATTTTGAAGGGGAAATACAACCTCTTGGCTGAATCTGAGAGCCCCACCAGCCATTAAAACATTGTTCTTAGCATGAGTTTACTACAGCTAGTGAATGTCACTTAACACGGAAACAAACTGACACAAGTAATAAAGGAAGGTAGGAAGAGTGGAAATGAGGAAAAATTCCAACGTTATTAGAAAGGAGTAGAGCTGCAGATAACATGGAAAGAAGAGGGCAAACACAACCAAGTAACGGTGCCATTAGCAGGACAACTAAACAACTAAACTTAAGTAAATCATAGCTTGCACTTCCTTCCTCTTACTAAAGTGCGGGACCAGTGAGAGTTTCAGCTGTCATCCAGGGGTAACAGACATTAGGATCATAGTGGAATGCTGAAAGGGATAATCAACACAGGCCTCACTGCCACAACAAGGCCCAAATTCCAGTAAGGACCTGGAGGAGAGCAACATTTTCCTGGATGCTTTAGAGACTGCTCAGAAGAATAAAATGCCCAGGAACGAGGGAAGCAGGGACATGTCACAGATTCTCCATGTCCCCTGCCCGTTCCCCTGCCCAAGTGAAAAGTGACAGGTGGGTCAGAAAGTGGAGCGTCATACATTTTCCCAGACAAACAGCCCGAGAGGGCAGAACCCATCTAAGGAATTTGTTTACTACACTTTGAAACCTGCTTATTGTAGAAAAGACTGGCTTCAAACATGCTATGAATCAGAAACAGGGTTTGAACTACTGATCTCCATGTATCCATCTCTCAAATGCTAGAATTACAGCATATATCACAGACCAGCTGGGGCAGTCTTCTTTTAAAAAGTTTCCAAGATTACTGGAAAGTACGCTGAAAGATCAAGGAGAGACAGTTTATCTCAGAAGTACAGGCTTGTGAAGGGCACCAGCAGAATAGTCAGAAGAATATTTCCATCTAAGCTGATGAATACCATCAAGAAGATATTCCAGGGTACATGCCTTTAAGCACAGAACTTGAAGGAGATGCAGAGGCAGAGGCAGGTTTGCGGCCAGCCAGGACTACACAGATGAGTTCCAGGACATCCAGGGCTTTGTGGAGAGAGACTCTGTCTCAAAGAACCAAAAAAATAAAAAATAAAAAAAATTTTTTTAAAATCCATTCTATAGAAGAAATATTAGAAACACATAAAAAACAGAATGGGGAGGAACTATCAATATTTTCAGTAAGAGTATCAGGGCAAGCTGGGCGGTGGTGGCGCACGCCTTTACTCCCAGCACTTGGGAGTTCGAGGCCAGCCTGGTCTACAGAATGAGTTCCAGGACAGCCAGGGCTATACAGAGAGACCCTGTCTCGAAAAACCAAAAACCAAAAGCCAAAAAAAAAGAGTATCAGGACAAAGGGTTTAAGACAGAAATCCTCTGAACAAACAGTGCACTGGGGCAGAGTGCTGAGACACTAAACCAAAAGCCAAAAAAAAAAGAGTATCAAGACAAAGGGTTTAAGACAGAAATCCTCTGAACAAACAGTGCACTGGGGCAGAGTGCTGAGACACTCACGTGTGGCTACTGCTTGCTGCTGCTCCTCCAGAGGACCAGAGCTCAACTCCCAGTGTCTATGTTGGCCTGCTCACAACTATGTTTAACTCAGCTCCAGGGGCTCTAACAGCCTCTTCTAACCGCTGCCAGCACCCAGGCACATGGCATACAATCATACAGATGTATAGATATAAATACAAATAAGTTCTTTCTTTTAGAAGAAAGCTCATTGTCTGACACACACATATAGTATTATTCTAACATGGATCAAAGACTTAAATGAAAGATCTAGAACCATCAAACTGTCAGGAAAGAAACGCGGGGTGATCATCATGATCCTGAGTGAGACATTGCTTCTTATACACAATACCAAAAGTAATCAATACAAGAAAAAAGATAAAGCACACTTCATTATAATGAAAGTCTTTTAAACAGATAAAATGGCTCAGAGGGTAAAGGTAACTAATGACCTGAGTTCAAATCCAGGAACCCGTATGATGGAAGAAGAGAATGGGCATTCTCAAGTTGTCCTCTGACCTCAAATATACAGTGGCATGTCCTCCCACCTCTGGTAAATAAATGTAACAAACTTTTAAAACTAACTTACTGTCTCTCTATCTCTGTCTTTCCCCCTGCCCCGTATGTGTATATACGTGTACACACACACACACACTCATATATACACACACACTCATACTGTCCTACCTTTTGAGACATAGTTCTCACTGGGACCTGTGGCTAGCAGACTTGGCTAGGCTGGCAAGCCAGTGAGTCCCAGAGAGCCTCCTGTCTACTCCTCAACACTGCTAGGATTTTAAGCACCCACCATCATGCTTGGCTTTCAAAAGAAAAGCTTTCATCCCACCCCGCAAAAAACAAGCAAACAATCACCACCACCACCAACACAACAACAAAAGCCGAGTGGGGGTGGTGCACACCTTAAATCCCAGCACAGGCAAGTGGATCTCTTGAGTTCAAGACCAGCCTGGTCTACAGTGCAAGTTCCAGGACAGCCAAAGCTACACAGAGAAATCTTACCTCAAAAATAAATAAATAAATAAATAAATAAATAAATAAATGAATGAATGAATTAATAAATTTTTAAAACGCCATCAAGAAAGCAAAGAGTTTATTCAACAGAAAAAAAAATTTCAAAATTATATAATTAAAAACAGACAAAAGGAAGTTGCTGCATCCTGGAATATATATATAAAGAACTCTTATACTCAACATTGAAAAGACACACTAATATAAAAATGGATAAAGAAACTAAAATGTAGTTCAATGTAAGACACTTGTTCATCATTAACAAAGCTCTAAATTCAATCACAAATACCAAGAGTAGAGGATTAGGATGGATATTTCTAAATAATATATAAAAATAACCAAAACACAAAAAGATTGTCAGTGATGTCATTTTGGCTGTTTTAATTAACGTGACATAATCGAGGATCAAATGGAAAGAGTGTCTCAACAAGGAACTGTCTACGTCAAGCTGGACTGTGGGCACTCAGGGAAGGGAGTGTCTTGATTTTGTTAACTCTGAAGAATAGGTGGCACCATCCCCTAGGTAAGTAAACAGAGAGAACTGAACATTAACAGGCGTGCATGCCTTTTATCTCTCTCCGATGCTGACTGTGTATGTGATATGATCAGCTGCTTCAAGTTTCTGCCATCGCTTCCCTGCAATGACGGACCATAACTTGGAATTATGATGTAAAATAAACCCCTTTTCCCTAAGTTGCTTTATGTCAGGGATTTTTATCATAGCAACAAAAATGAAAATAGAGCAGGCATTCAGGAAAGGGAAATCAAAATTGCAATGAGTTGCCTCCCACACCAAGGCAGCTATAATTAAATAGCCAACATTAACAAATGTTAGGGAGGAGGGAAACATGGGCCCCTCACATACTGCTGGTCAAAATATAGCACAGCTATTTTATACAACATTCTGGAAACTCCTTTAAAATTAAAAGGAAGGGACTTGGAGAGGTGGCTCCTCAGTTGAGAGAACTGGCTGCTCTTTCAGAGAACCCAGGTTCAATTCCCAGCACCCAGATGGCAGCTCATGACTGTTTGCAATTTCAGCCCCAGAGGATCTAATGGCTCGTTCTGGCTTCTATGGGCACTGAACACTGGTGTGCAAACATACAAACAGGCCAACACCTGCACATATAAAAATAATAGACAAAATGTTTAAAAATTAATTGTCTACAGAGTAAATGGAACGGATGAGGAGGCTGAGTGGATGAGGAGGCTGCATGAGGGCCTACCAACCCGACGACCTGGGCTTGACCCGGAGACCCCTTACAATGGAAGGAGAGAACTCCTCCAGGAGTCCTCTTACCCTCCACATACACAACAGCACCACTGGCAATCAATATGTCAATCAATCAATCGATCAATGTAATTTTTTAAAAGGTTAGAGATCATTAACATATGATTCAACAAGTCTGCTCCTAGGTATACACAGAAATGAAGTATCTCCACGTAGAATCGTGTCCAGAGTGTTCCCAGTGGTACTACTATCACAGTAAACAACATGTAGAGGAATCCAAATGTCTACGACGGTCAAACAGATAACATGTCGTATAGACTTACAATGAAATATTATTCCAAATAGTAGGAAACATGGCCATTTACTGCACAACAGTTAGCAAAAGACACCAGTCACTAAGACTATAGGGTCTATGATTTTACCTTGAAATAGATATTCAAAATAAACGAACAAAATAAAATTGCTGTATATATTAGGTGGCAATTTTAAGCTAATGGTAATATTAGGTTAGAAAATATCCAGTTAAATTCTATTTAGAGATAGAATCAGTAAATAATACATATATTTGTTCCAAAATAGCTTCTTTAAAATGTTAATACTAGGTAAAGCAACAAGCTAGGCAAGAAAAAGAATAATTTCATTTATTCCTCTCCAGTGAAAATGTAACTTCTAACTTTCTTATAAATCATCATATATGTGAACTGTTGTGGCAAGCAGGAAGGTGACATGAGCCCCGGTGGCTCTCAGCTTGTGAGACCTTGCTCCT